AAGAAAATAATGATTTTTTTACCTGCATTTAAGTTGTAACTTTTTGACATGAGAATTGACAAAAAAGTAAAGGAAAAGAAATTAATCAAAGAAAATTAAAAATTAAATTCATAATAAGATGGAACACATGGATGAAAAATAATATATAGTTTTAAGGTGAATTTAGGATTATTTAGGGCTTTTATATTTTTTTTATTTTCTTAATATTGTTTTGCCTGAGTGATATGTGGATTTATCCCCAAGTAGGGAAAGATAGATTCAGGCCTTTTCTAAGGGTATTAGTGCAAAAGTAAGCAACAGTCTTGGCCAGAATTTGAACTTAGTCTGTTGATACCATTTTTCACACCAGTAACCATTACACAACCTGCACATAGCAAATGTCAAAGAAACTTTCTATAGTTCATTCCAATACTCAGACTATTGGACTCATATATTTTATGTTATTTTTGTTGCTTGCACAATATTTTGGCCAACCAATTCTACAGCCTTCCTCAGGTGTACAATCCAAAAGAAAAGATTATAAGGTTGAAACCAATTGTACTCTGATAGTCAGACTTGAGGAATATATGAAAGCTATATCCAAAGGGAGGAGAAAAACCTGGTAAGGCAGATCATATCTGGAAAGAAAAGGACTTATTACTTTCTCTGGATAGATAGGGAACATTACTGGAAAGTAAGAAAATTGAAAGTGACAATAACAGGAAAGAAGTGTATAAGTCAAGAGGATGCAATGATATGGATCTCTTTACAAAGCAGAGTAAAAATGGGAGAGTATCTCTGTGTATAAAAAATATCAAAGCTCATGTGTTATATGAGTTACATAGGAAGGGATTATCTGTGTGGCTCATTTTACTAGAGAGGAGATGAGCTTGTTGCTATATCAACCATTATTTCTTTTTTGTTAGCTTCTTGATAAAATCCAAAGAAGAATCAGCAATATAATTGGCCACAATTTGGTGTCTTGGTTTCAGTACTTTTCCAACGCTGTAAGGTTGCCTCCTTTTGCCTTTTCTATAAATACTCTCATGGTAATTGTTTGGATGAGATCTTCGCTATAGTGCCTAAACTTTAAATTTAAGTGCACTACTAGACTGGCGATTAGGTTTTATCAATTTACAGTTGAGCTGGCTAGATGTAACCGTAAATTCTATGCTAACAGTTTCTTTTCTCACATTTCTCCCTTGTGGAACTCCATGCTTTCCAGCCAACTTTAATTTTCAAAAATTTAAATGCAATGTCAGCCAGTATCTACTGTCCTTCTGATTACTCTTCCTCTGTTCTCGCTCCCTAGCAATTGTTTCTATTTCTAACTCTTCCACACCCAGTAACCGCTTGTGCATCAGTGGCTTTACTGCCTTTCTTTGGGTGAACTCAATTATTTTCTGTTAGGTTTAATTCAGCTAGATTCTTCACTTTTCTCACTTTCTAATGAAATTCCTTATGATTTGAATTTGATCCCAAAGAAAATAATAAGAACTTTAGAATTAGAAAAATCAGGTGTAGTAGATGGAGAAGTCTGCCACAACTATTTTTCTAATTCTTCTATAGATATAGTATTCTTTTCTTGAATCTATCATGTGACAATTGGTTTCTTCTGTTCTTTTACTTATAGACTGAAAGATATATAATAGATTGACAAAAACATTGTGGCAACAGCTAAAGCAATAAAGGAGTTCAGTAGCCAGAACAACACTTGGAATGGTAATGTAAAATTACAAAAATTAAATACAGATAATGTTATACATATATATTTAGAAGGTTTTGCTTTAACCTTATCAGTCCTTGGGAAATTTCACTTGTTTAATCACTGGAGTTCTGACCAAATTGTTAAAAAAACTGAATATGTAATGTTAGTGTAATTAATATATCTCGAAGATTGTTGAAAATCTAGTTTTGCAAGTTGATTTTATAAACTGATTTCTCTTTCAAATGTTACCAAATTTAGCTTTCTTGGGTATTAGTGGTTATGAGATATAGTTTCCAGCACCTCTAGTCAATCATGTGACAGGTGTTAAAGTAGTGTATTGAAATACAGTACTACCTATTGTGGGTGCATTCAGGTGCTCCTAGACTATAAACATTGTGGGCACATTTAGGTGCTTCTGGCCTTAAAGGGTTAATTTCAAATTGTCTTACCTCCAAGACAGAGTATGTGTCCTCTATCTTCATTCCACTTTCTAATACTTCTTTGGCTTTTTTGCTGATGGCATGGATGGATTCTAAAACTGGATTCAGAATGCTTGGATACTAAGAAAAAATAAAAACAGAGATAAAATCAACAAAAAGGTGAACTTCAATTAATCAGCAACAAAAACAAATGAGACTAACATTTATGTTTTTTTTTTAATTTAAACAAGCAATGAAAAAAAATTGACTTACTGTTAATATTTTTAGGAAAGGATTAGTTTAAAAATATACTCTCCAAAGAAAAAGAGACAAGAAAGAAGGAATTTTCAGCAAACTTGGACATTTGTGACCACAAGAAAATGGAGTGTCAAAAGGACGTTTTTTTTTTCATTGAAACTGCTATTATTTTTAACTACATTCAGTCCTCAGCAATGTTTATTGTCTTAAAAAAGATTAGAATTGTAATAAATCCTAAATGTATGAATGTGAATTTATACATTTTTTTCATATAACAAGAATAATAAACAATATTTATTTATTAGATTGTTTATCTACACTAATTATTTATTATATTGTTTATTGGAATGGTTGGCAAAACATTGTCTAATTGCTGAGTGCCTTATAAAATGGTAAATAATAAGGATTTCCTTATAGTTGGTTCTCATAGTTTAATAATTTAGTGAATGTTTCTAAATTAATGAATGAAAAATTGTTTTCATATTTATTTTTTTATAAATTGGTAAATGATAAATATTGCATTGCATTAGTTCTAATTGTATTAGTTTTTAGAATGTTGCAAATATCAAATTATTCTTGTAAATAAACATCTAATAAATATTAGTGCTTAATATTTTTGTTTTAAATTCTCAAGAACAAAAAAATATCTAAATTCACTTTCATTATATAATTAGGTTTTATTACAATTCTAATCATCCCTTTTTAAAACAATAAACATTGCCAAGAAGGTAGTTCAAATAATAGCAGTATCAATGGAAAAACTGTCCTTTTTTTTTTTTTTTTTTTTTTTTTTTAGGCACAAAGAAATTTCTATCAATACCTAAATATTTTACATGTGCATAGCAAAGATAAAAAAGATTTTCAAATAATTTTTTTTCTACATTTTTCTAGAAAACTGGTGAATTTTTAGATTCTGCTTAAAAGGTATAAAATATTTTACAATAAGCTATAAACATCACTCTAATTTTATGATCATTTCATTATATTTGCAGGACAATCTGTCTGTTATTCAGCTGACACAAAGAAATTAGAAATGATTAAATTTTTTCTATTCTTATTTTTGTTGCTTTTTAATGTCCAGGTCATTTCACAATCTACAATTATTAAGCAAGAACAAGGCTAGATTAAGCTAGTGAAGATTACATAACATATTTTATACAAGGGACCTAAATGAAAAAATACACATAATTTTTTTTTTATACACATAATTTTTTTCAAATATTCTCTCCAATTTTTAATTTCTCCAATTGTCATAGATCTCTTGATAGATACATATAGTTCTTGGTCATGTTTTCTTCTGAGGACAACAATAAAAGATCTATCAAAATCTGTTTACCATACACAGGGACTACATCTGAAAAGATCCAAAAGATCTGCACTCTATCCAATATTAGGATGGTAGTTAAAAGCAGTTAAGCCCTTTGGAGGTATCTCTTTTGAATCCCAACTCCTCATATATAACAACCAAGATGGACAAGCTGTTCTGAATAGCAAAGCATATAATCCTATTATAATTGTGCTTGCCATTCCCTTTGTTAGTTCATATGACCATGATCATGTAGAAAGAGGGGAAAAGACACTACTTGGTTTCAGTGAATGAAAGAAATAAAGAAGGGAAGATAGAAGTATTTAACAGCTATTTCAGTGCAATGGAAAAAGTTGTCAATTTTAAATTTTTAATTTTTAAATCATTTGTACCCTCTTACTTCTTTAAATAATGACCTGCATTCAGATTTATGATTATTGTTGTAATATTTTGTTAAAGTTGTTAAGCTCAAATATTTAACGATGTGATAGGGGAATTTCTATGAATATTTTATAACTCGCCATAAGCTAACTTAATCATTAACTGAAGAATTAAGATTCATCAGAATATTAAAATAGGAAAACCATGAAATTTTCATGAGTTAAAACTAGTATTGATAATTCTTCATCTCAAAACTTATGTTGTCTTATGAATGACAGTCATTAATATTGCATCTCCTTTGTAAGCATCAAGAAGTCTCAATTATGGTAGCTTTCTCTTATAATGGTACACACATTATCTGTAGAAATCCCATTTTCACTTTATGACAATTTACAAATGGTTTTGTTTTCCACCTAGGCTGGCACCCCAGTATGTCTGTTGCAGGATGCTAGTATGTTTGGGTAAATATTAGTCACCATTCTGTTGCAGGAATCAACACTTTGGAGAGTAAATATTTATGGGATCCTGTAAAATTTATCCTACAAACAATATTGGTGAACTCAATGCAAGTCCAAGTAAAAAATGAGTAACAAAAAACAAATATAAAACAATGTATGTATTAACACTAGGAATTACATGTGACAAAAGATAAAAACATGAAACTAGCTATAATAAGAATGTATGTGCATGTGTGCATAACAAGCATGTGTGAGAGAGTACAAAAGTCAAGAGAGAAAACCATTAAAAAGGAACGTGTCCCAGTGGGGGACACTTTACCCATGTGCGACTACATTTGAAAGCCAGAGCTAAAAAGCAGTAAAAGAGGCTAGGGAGAGAAACGCACCCCTTTTTATAGGTGTAATGATGGGTTTTTAGCAAAGTGGGATAATCCACATATCCTTGAGTCTTCCTCCACCCTAGTCAGATTTTCTCACATGACATCATAGTATCATGACAAAGAGGCTGTCAATTGGCTACTTACCTGTGCAATTTTTGACTTGACCTTTTCAACCATTTTCTTTGTACTTCTTTCCTTTTTGCTGTTCACAATCAAGCCATTCAGCTGAAGACTTTTATAAAATGAACAAAGCATATTGAAATTATTTCTCATTTGTTCCAATTATTACATGATTAAAATTAAAATGTTTGAAAATACATTTTAAAAGGAATTTATTTATAGTTATATTTCTGTAGTAGAAGATACGATTTGTTATTCTGATATTCAACAGGATTTTTTGTCAATTGAGAGAAACAGTGAAATGGATACAAATATTAATCATTTCAATACAACACAATTAACATGGTTTTCTTTTTCACATATGGTTTGTTTAATGGTATATCAACTCCCTATGGGTCATTTAATGCCAAAATTTAATTTTTTGGGGAGCTTTGGCAATTCATTTATTTTTTTTCTGCTAATTTTTTTCTATGAAAATATTTATTGCTGGTAATTTTTTTATTATGAAAATGTATTGATGGTATTTTTACAATAAAAATGTATTTTTATATTTTCATAATGTTTTAACCCCAATAGCTGAGACCCCAACAAATGCTACCACCCTAGGTCAGGGTGGACCTGGGAACAACAGTTATTAAGGAGTGGTTCCATGCTCCTCAAAACAACCTGATCAGAAGTCTTGCTGCCAGATATAGTTTGTCGTCATACCCAGGACATTCATATATTGTAGTCTCAAAGTTAAAATACATATCTATTATAACTTTCTATTGTAAGGTTATTGTTATAACACACACTCATACTTGGTATAATGTAATTTGTTAAGTATTCTCTATATGTAATGCTGAAGCTATTGCTGTACTCCTGTATAGTTAGTATGAAGACTGACTCCAATACAACTACTACTACTAACTTCATACTCTGGAACTCTTTATAGTATTGGATGAGTTCATAGTCACCCGGGGTGTACTCTTTACTCCACAACATCTCCCCTTTTGAGATTACTATTTTATTAAATATTTTTTATTTCGCATTAGTATCTCCTCCTCCTCCTGGAGAGTTCACCAATGTACTTTATAACATTTTCTTTCCCTTGAACTTATCCTTATCGGTTTCCCGATTTGTTTTAGTGCTGAAACATTAAAAATGTTGTACTGCATTTTTATCAGTTCTTCAGGTTTTTCATCCATGAATTTTTTCTTCAGCTGATTTCGGTGTCTTTTATGTTGAACTTTTTTTTCTGCTGTTCAACTTTGAAAACATTTCTTCTGGACTTTGTAATGGATAATTGTGCATTTTGAGACAACTATTTAATCCAGTTGCAAACACAAATTTTGTCATTTTTTTTTCTTTACGTACACTGCTGGTGCAGCCCATTTTGAATGGTTTATTTTCTGCAATACACCAATTCTTTCTAGTCTGTCCAACTCTTCATTTATTTTTTCTAATGCTGCAAATGGTATGCCCTGTTTTGGTTTAAATACTGGTGTCAAACCATTTTTACTTGAAAATTCACTTTGAATTTTGAACACTGACCCAGTTCATTAGACAGAACATCAGGAAAACATTTTTTAATTCTTCCTTTGGTTTTTTGCTGTGACTTTTAAAATTTATCGCTTGTCCACTTACATTTTTACAATAAGCATTTATCAGCAAATCCCACAGTTTAAATAGTTCCATCCAGTCCATACCGAATAGATTCATCGCATTTCTTAAAACATAAGCTTTTGTTTTTATCTGCTTATTCCCACAAAAAATAATTTATCACCAGGAACTGAAGTTGTGACTTTGTAACTCCTTTTTAATAAAGGTTTTCCAATTTCTTTCCATGTGGCTTCATTTACTATTGAAATGTTACTATCAGTATCTAGTAACATTTTTACTCCCACATTATTGATTTGCACATTAAAAAATTTTCTTTTGTTTTATGTACCTATCATTTCTGTTGCAATATTGTGTATCAATTTCTGCCTGCATAAAATTTTTCTTGGCTTAGTTCTGCAGTTCGATTTGATATGTACTTTTTTTACCACTGTTGATTTCTAATCTGAAGGGAATGAATGCAAAAGTTTGCACCCTCCCCTTTTATAGGCAAAGGTACACAAAATGTTTGCTGGGATATTTTTCTTAGTCAATAAAATAGGTTGATTTACAATTTGACTTGACTCAGTCCAGATCCACTGATTCAGATGGTTCAAGCTGACTTGTCGAACTCCTGCACCTCCAATGAGCATGGAACAGAGAGTGCTTGTCACTAAAAATTTTTGTCAGAATGTGTACTGTGTCTTCAAACCCTATTTCACCTGGTTTTCTCAGTAAAATATAATTGCAGTTATTTTCGTACTCTATTGTAGCTAATTTTTTTTAGCAACAACCTATTTTTTTATCTTCTTCAGCCACTGCATTCCTGACTAAATATTTCTTCATGTCTGAAAGTATGCAGCAAAAATCAGTCCATCATCAGGATTGTGTTTTGCACTGTGTCTGGCATAAGAGATGTTGAAGCATTTTTCTTCAAAACCACTTCAACAACTCTTGTTGTTTTTTGCAACTGTAGCAACTGTTGGGTATTTTCTTCTTGTTGCTTCTGTGGTTGTTGTTGAATTTCAAGTATTGAAGCCAAAATTTTCCCCATAATTTGTTTTTTTAAACCAACATGGTAGAAATTCTTGTAACTCCTACTGCACACTATTACAACTCCAGTTATAATGTGGTGCTTGTTATACTGCACTTGAGTTCAAGTTCCCTGTCATCAATTATTATAACTCCAGTTATAAAGTTGTGAAATTATCCCACATTTGTGTTTGTGTATCCTTGTCACCAACTATTATAACTTCCTCTTTGTAAGGTTATTGTCATAACACACTCGTACTTGAAATAATGTAATTTGTTAAGTAAATAATGCTTAGGCTATTACTATATGCCTGTGTAGTTAGTATGAAGATTGACTAATACGACTACTACTAACTTCATACAATGGTACTCTTGACTCCATAAAAAATACATTGTACTTAATCTTTCATTAACACATTATATAATATGATTTAACAATTAAAAAAAAATAATGTTATATTAGCATATTATATAATATCTCCAGAAGATAAAAAAAATATTTTCATGGCAATGTGAGAGATATGGAGTCTTTGGCAAACTTGGATCTTTATGCTTGCAAAAAAAAACAAAACAAAACAAAACAGTGTGTCAAAAGGGCAGTTTGTTCCATTGACACTGCTATTAATTTAACTACCTCCACTCTTTAGCAATGCTTATTGTTTTAAAAAGGAATGATTAGAATTGTAATCTTACTTATTATAAAACGCAGTGTGTGTGTGTGTGTGTGTGTGTGTGTCTGTACGTTTATATATTGGATCGGATTTCCTACATTTTTCAACCGATTTCAACAAAACTTCACAGGACTACATAAAATTACCTTGCGGTGGTTCTAACAGTGCCAAAAATTGGAAAAACACAATTGTTTTTGCACGAAATCAGTTTGAAAACACGATTAAGAGGCATCATGAGAATGAAAGGGGGACAACTCATATAGAGTTAAACTTATTATAAAACCCAGGTTGTTTGTGGGTGTGTTCGTTTATATATGGGATCGGATTTCCTACATTTTTCAACTGATTTCAACAAAACTTCACTTTTTTTTTGGCAGGTAGTGTTTCTTATTGTCTTGCACACTTTTTTCTTTATTTTTACATTCAGAATGCTTTAAAAATTCCATTTACAAGACAACTGTTTATAATAAAATTCTATTCAATCAGTAGACTCATGATTGAAAACAATGTTAAACAATATAATAAATAATTAGTGTAAATAAACAATCTAATAAATAAATATCATTTATTATATTTGTTGTCAATTTTCAAGAACAAAACATTAGATATCCTAGGCATGAATAGTGTAACAAAACAATCCACACCCAAATAAGGATTTTTTAAAGTTTAGATTAAACAAAAGGTTCAGTTTAAAGTTTATATTAAACAAAGGTTTTACTTCTAATTTCCCTGAAGTTTATCTGGAGAGACAGATACCTGAAAATTGAGGTGCACATTATGATAACAACAACAAAGATGAGGGACATTAGTTTGAATGTAAATAATAGATGGGTAGATAAACATAATAGATAATAAATATGTAGATGCCTTCAAAAATAATGTAATATTTCACTTGGTAAAGATATAAAAGATAAATTAAATTCAAATCTTAAAAAGAATAAGGCAAAAACTTACTCATGTAAACGTTCTGTTTTTCCATTCTCATAAGCTATCATTCCACCTAAAAATGTAAAAGTTGATAGGCTGAATCTTTTTCTATTACAATAAGTTTACTACTGAACACTTAAAAACAAACATTCTAGATAAATCCTACAACTGGGCAATTATTAATTAGAGAGGATTCTTGACCATTTCAAGATTTTTTTGTATAAATAAAGCTCAATAGGGAAGTAAGCTGAAAATTTTAAAATCTAAGCTTCAATTTCTAATAACAATTATATAAGTATTTTTTAACAATCTCTGAGAAATGTTGTTAGAAATAATGCAAATAATAAGGCTATATAAGATAATTAGTAAGATCATTGGCTTTGTGACAATATTATAGTTTAATCCTAATTCAGTGTAAATGGTGATGATTTAAACATTTAGATAGTATTATTTTTATATGTTAGTGGACATTGAGAAAAGAATTAGAATAGTACAAATATATATCAAACACAACATTTATTGTATTGAGAAAAATACACAACATACAAGGCCATATCACATCAAAACACTGGTTCTCGTATGATCAATGAAGTTAAGCAATGTTGAGCCTGATCAGTACCTAGATGGGTAACTGCTTGAGAATACCAAGTACTGTAAACTTGGATGTGTATATTGTGTTATGGATAATGGCTTGGAATTGGAAATCATACAGTTGTTAAAAAATGGCTTTTGTGCATATTTAGACAACTTCTAATTTAGAATAAAGTTAAATTTATATGTTAGTTTCTTTATAAAAAACAATAATATATTAAAAAAAATACAAAAACAAACAAATATTATTGTCTACAACTTCAAGAGGAGTTTACTAAATATTGCTGGGACAGTTAAACCTCTCCTCTGTAATTTTTCCATTTCAGTTGAGATCACAGAATCCACAACCTTATGTTGCAGTTAATTTTGAACACCATAATTTTTTCAATAGTTGTATATTTTGTACCTCACTAGGGCTACATAGCCACTATCCCAAGGTAGGAGAATTTTGATTTCAGAAGTATTCTTCTTCTAGACTGGTTGCCAACATTGGCTAGAGATCCATCCTTACATGTTATTTAAGCCATAGCTGGGAAGAGATGAATTCATACCTTTCCTAAGGATATTTGCATAATTTGAACTTAGCCAGAACTTGAACCTGGCTTGCTGATTTCACTTTTCAAGCCACTAACCATTACACTAGCCACACATCCTTAATATATGCATGCTGTTGTTAACACAAGGTTTGATCAGATTCATTCTTCAAGCCTCATCAGGTATATTCCATGAGAAAACAAGATAAAAACAAAAAATAGCAACAAAAAAATGGTACTTAATATTGTTATGGTTCAGAATGATATTTCATCATTCTAAAAATAACGTTGCTATCAGTGATGATAGAAAAAAGGATATTTAATAATCCTAACGCTCATCATTATAAAAATGACCCTTCCACCACAAGAGAGTCAGTAGAGTTGAGTAGTGTAGACTAGGGTACCCATAGCAGTAGTCAGTAGTATAGACAGGTAGCAGTACAGAAACACACATCTGCCAGCACTCTAGGAAGATCAAAAACAGATGATTTCAAATGCATCCACAAATGAAATTCTCGGAACCAAACCAAGTAAGCACTAACTTTTGAACAAAAGAGACACTAAGGCCATTTTTACACTCTTCTGGATGGTCTCCTTGTTTAAGTTGGTGAATGCTGCCATAGCCCTCACCTTCAGTTGATCTTTAGTGCTACAAGGATAATAATTAAGGGAGTTACAGTCTGGGAAGTTAGGTGGCCAGATGTAAGGGGTGTTATAGCTGCAAAAATTGCCTGAAAGCCATGACTTGGTTATCCTGTTTGTGTGGCATGGTGCAGAGTCCTATTGCTAGACATATGGTCTTACAGCAGCTACCCTCTTGACCCAGGGCATTGTTACCTTCTACTTGATGTAGGTCTTCATGTTGAGTCTGAAGCTCCTACCAACAAATTCAGGAGTTCTTTTCTCATCAGAATGATCAGAGTGAGTTTTCCTAGCTGTCATACCTTTGTAGTCAGCATTAGACTCCTCTAACTTTTTTTGAATCCTCTGCACTCTCCTCAGATTGACACCCAAATGATCTAAAATGTTCATATTGGAGCTTCTGGTGAGAATGCCAAGCAGTACAGCATGCCATTTCCAAATTTCTTGTGGAGTGAATTGCGTTATGGTACTCTTTTTCTCACAGATGGTGCCCAACTGACCCTATTATACTGTGCAGTTGCCAAAATCAAAAACAATGTGCATGTCTGAAATTAAAAATATAAAATGGTGTCAATTTACCCATCACACCATATATATATGAAAGATCTATTAGTAATCATTCCAGCTGTAACTAAAATGTTCCTATTTTCCTAAAAATACATCTCTGTATATAAAAGATACATTTTGGATTTTATAAACATTTTAGTTTTGAATCTGATATAGCTGAAATTTTCATGCATATTTGAATGTGTAGTTCATATCAACACTGCTGTTGTTGGCATACTTATACATCTTTATAAAACATACACTGCCTACTGTTGACATATATATACATTTTCCAGACACCATGAAATGTCAGACACTAGTATTTCTGTTATAAACTTGTAGTGAACGAGATAATCAGGTACCCCGGAAAAATGTTTGTGTTTTGTGTGCGATCTGCCGAAGAAGGATTACCAAAAAGTAGTCAGCAAAAATCTTATAGCGAAGAAAACGGCGACTTACCTCATCAACCCAAGCGACAGCGCGTCACGTGTATTCTGTGACGGAAAAAGAAACAAGTCCGTCGCATGAGTCGCTATAAGAGTATATTGATATGCAAATTACGGAGCATCATATCCCAGCTGTCGATGAATGAAAAAAAATAGGTTCTGCCGATAAAAGCAGTTGGTGTTTTCAATTCGAGAGAGGAAAATTCGGGCATTTTTGGCTACGGCGTTTGTAGGAGAGTGATTTATTTTCCTGACTGGTTACACACATCGTGATTTAAGATAGTACCGGCGAATCGAGTTCTCAGCATTTCTTTCCGCCCCAATACTCGAGTCTGTACTTAGTGATTTTTCTTTGTGTTGTGAAAGTAATTTGCGACAAATTTGCTTTGAGAACGCTTACGCATACAAAACTATCACTTATTGCTATTTCCATAGTAGCATACAATCCAAGCTGTACTAACATATTTTTTATTATATTGTGTGTTGAGGATGCTGTTTAGCTTAGTCTGCACTGCAGAGTGTCCTATCAAAAAAATGGTGGCACCAATGAAAAATAGCCATCAGTGTATTTATAGTTATTTATTTTCACTAAATGGCAATTTCCAATTCCCCCACCCCAAATGGAGAAGGATAGCCAGACAACAATGCAGCAGTAAAAGTGTTAATATACAATTGAACCACCAGACTAATCTGGTATAGCAGACTATATCTGGTGAGAGAAGAGTACATATTACCTTCCTTTGGATAACTGACAAGGATCATCACTGAGAGGAAAGAACCTGAAAGTGGCACCATATATTGTCTTCTCAGCAAAGTGCTAGATTCAAGCTAGCACAAATTTCAGTAATAATACAGGATTTGCATTGCTTAGCAAAATGGGTGTTAGGAAATATCCCTTGGTAAAATTTGGAATTGCATGGGGACTTTAGTTCTATGGAAATAGATTGGCCCAGTCAGTACATAATAAATGGATATAATGAACCCAACTGGAATTGGAACTTGGCTCTCCAACTGACAATTCTGAGCTATTGTCCATTACATCACCCACATATCCAAGCTTACAGCAGCTGGTATTCCCAAACAATAACTCATTTAAATACTGATCAGGCTCGATGTTGCTTAACTTTTATGATCATATGGGTACCAATATTTCAACGTGATATGCCTGTAAGTCAAAGTGTATATATATATATATATATATATATATATATATATATATATATAGCAACATAAATAATAATAGAATAAAAACAATATAATAGGTACTATATATAACAATATGTAACAAACATATACCAAAAGGATAGAATCGAATGGTACCAATATATATGTAACAATATAAATAATAATAAAATAAAACATAAAATATTTAAAATAAAATATAAAATTAAAAACAATACAAATTATATACAACAATATATAACCCTTATTATATTGTTTTTATATGTTATGTATAACAATATATAACCAATATATACCAAAAAGATAGAACTGAATGATAACAATACCCTACTGCAGAATTTGAGAAACCAGTGTTTTTAGTTACCAAATGTACAAACGGTATTATCAATACCAGACGGATTTCCATGCATGATACATTCTCCTCTGAAAGCCCACTTGTTGATCTTTTCCAAATCTTCATCTGACCAATAAGCACCGGAATCTTCAATGGAAGGAAAACTAATCAGCCCTTGTTGTTGTAGAAGGGCTGCAGACACAGAGACAGAGACACTTGCAGAGGAGCCCAAACCAGAACAAAGTGGAAGGTAAGTTGTACATTGAATTTTTAATGATGGAAGACCACTGCAATCAGAAGCATGTAGATATAGTTTTATGCTAGAAGTGGAAAAATATCTTTAAAGTGTTAATTTTTAATAATTCATAACAAAATATTAGGTGTATGCAAAAATAACAGCATCTTCTTTTCAATAAACTAGACAAGGAATATAAATAGCAGATAAGATATGTATTCAACACTTTTCAAGAGAGCAGCAAATGTAAAGAAAATGACTGATGAAGCCTATGAAGATGTTTTAGTAGGAAACAGTACATATTAGGAATTAAGTTCAAAGAAACTAAATTTCACTTAGGAGACAAACAATGCAGTTGTAGACCACAAGAATTTGGAAAATGATGACTTATAAACATTTTGGATGATGACACAATTCAATCAATGTTTGATTTAGCTGAAAACCATGTATTCTTATTTTAGTACTGCTCAGTTATTGATCCACTGTTTCCACTGAGGTCAAGTACATACTGCCCAGCCCAAGGACTGAACTCACAATTACTATGTCACCAAATTAACTGAGTAGTATTAAAACTAAGAACCAGACAATATCCCTAGACATAAGAAGTGGAAGAAAAACAGTCTACCTCACTAGATTAAAGGATTCAGTTCAGAATTCCCTGTAGGTCATCCAGATCAATATACACCCAGAAGGTACAATAGCTGAAATAGTGTGATAACAACATCAAAGATGAGGACAATAGTTTGAATATAGATATGAAAGTCATACTACAGCAACAAGGAAGTTGAAAATGAAATTCTGAAACTTGGTGAAACTATAGGGCATAATTGTCATCACCTTCAAAGTCTGCAAATGAAAAAAAATAAAAAAATAAAAAAGAAGAAGCCATTTCCAGGATAGGGAAGCTGAAAAGTCATATTGCTGCTTGAAGATAGAATTTGAAAACTTTCAGAATGTTTAGTTGAAGTATGGTCATATAAAATCAAGGAAAATATTTTGAGGATTAATAGACAGGTTGATTATCCCATTTTACTAAAAAAAAAAAAAAAGAAAAAGAATTGCTAGGGGACACTCTATGAATAGGAAATAATATTCTCACCCATTCTCTTACCTTTTCATCTCTTAAACAATAAGATGTAGTCACACATAGAAAAAAAGTGCCCCTCTGGGGGCACATTCACTTCACTTTCAATGCATTACTTTTCTCTTGGACTTCTACACAAACCTCATGCACACATACACATTTTCTAGTTTAAATATTTTCTATGTCATTAGTCTTTAAATGTTTTCTTCTTTTATTGTTATTGTATACTTTTGTTAATACATACAATGTCATTTGTTTTATATACTGTTTTATATTATTTATTACTTGAACACACATTAGAGTCAGCAATAATTGTTATGGGAAAAAATATACCAGGAGACATGTATTTTCTATGTAAACACAAATGCATTCCTGCAACAGATATATGTACTAGAAACTAATTTTAATGAAAACATTGAAAACTTTTACACACACCTCATACTCTTTATAAACTTTTGACCAATAACATCCAAATTCTCATAGAAAACAGTATTTACACAAATATTTCATGTTAAAAGTATTTATAAAATAATAGTAATAATTAAAAGCATATTGAGATAACAAGCAACAATAAAATGGGGTAAAACTATTAATAAAATGATAATTAAAAATGCTTCATCTAAGAAATTTTAATAAGTTAACAGGTAGGCCTTCAAGTGCTCGTACAAGGACATGATCTGTTGCAAATGCTTTATCTGTTGGAATATGCCCTTGTCAAAATTTGCTTAGTGATTTTGATAAATTCAGTTTCAATCCTCAGGTAATGTGCAAGTTAGGGTTTTACATGGATTGTGTATGTCTTGTCAACATGGGTATGAACTGATTGACGTCATTACCCAGATGGAAATGCTTTACGTCATGCATACAGCCAGATAAAGACTATAGTCACATGAACAGTTCATAGTCTGTTGAGGTCTGGGACATGTATCCGATCCTGAAAGGGGCAGAGTTAAGAGCAGTCAGCATTTCTTATTGTTCTGTCTGAAGTTCATCAGCAATTCTGGCTTGATGTTTGTTTTTGGATATTTTCAGTTTGAGAATGGTTGTTCATTGCTGTTTGATTATTTCTAGCATTTCATGGTGAATAAATGTATTGTAGTCCATTTTCTTGTTCCAGCCACACACTTCAGACACCAGTTGTTATGGCAAGCGTATGGTGACAGAACAAAGAAGAAACAATGAAAATTTCAAGAAATAAACAATTGTATTAACATAAAATACAGCAAATGAAAAATTAGTGTAGATGACTCTTGTATGAAAAAAAAGAGATGAGTAAAGTTGTAAAAGGTGTCCAGTGAGGCATATGAAAGGAGAGGAAGGATGAGTTGTGACTTACTGGGTGATGATGTTGGCAAGCTAACCAATTCTGATGTCTTTGGAGATAGGAATCAATGAATTTAGGTCAAGATGCCGTACAACTGTCGAATGTCCCTTTGATGGGCTTTTATGTCCTTTTTTAGGTTCAAATCAGCTCCATTTTTTATTTTATTTCTTTTAGGCTGGAGTGGGTGCTATTTGGTGGAAATTCTGGATTGTATTGCTTATTTTTTTTCTTTGAGTGTGTGATTAAAAACAAAAGATATGTGTGGATATTGCACAGCTGATGGAATTTTAATTCAGTTTTGGGTGTCCAGAGTGTTCACATCGGGCCAGTGGTGGAAATTAGTGTAGCATGAAGCAGAAAAAGATCTGGTTTTAGGAAGAATATAACACAAAGGACAAAAACAAAACCTGTCAAAGGCTGGATGAGCTTCTTATAAGAGCCAATGGCTAATGTGTGTGTGTTTGTGTGTATATATATAAAATAAACAATTAATTGCTGGTATCTCTTGATGAGTAGATGGAATGATTGCTGGAGGGTCTATTTCCAAAATTTGAGATTTGAGATACTGAAAATAACATCAATCACCTAAGTGACAAATTTTATATTTGTATTACTCCTATATATAAGGCTAGGATGGGGTGTCAAACCTAAAAAAAAAAAAAAAAAAACACTTGGTGTACATGGACTACTGTGAGTGTCTGAATTGGGCAATCAGGAAGAGCATCTAGTCCTGTAAAAACCTTGCTTCAAATCATTATGACAAATCTTTTGTCAGGCAGGACCCACCTTGCTTTGTACGAGATTAATCCTAGTCCTGCCTAAACAAAAAAAAAAAAAATAACACAGCTATATATGTATATATGTTGCTTGTTCATTTCATCTACTTAACCAGAATGTGTGACCTTTCAGCACTGCAATAGCCAGGGATTGAACTCACAACTGTTTTAACCAATGCTTTAATCCACTAATATAGAAATTCTGAAGCCTGTAACCTGGAATCTGTACTCAGATGGTAGAACTGTATGAGTGTCCTGACTTAGATGGTGAAATTGTTTTTTGTGTGTCCTTTCTTTTTAAGCAACAACTCCTAGTTGGGATTTTTTTTAATCTCTATGTTAGGCCAACTGAGAAGTATATCAGTGCTTAATCTGTGGTGTGAAGATGGTTTCAGTTGTCTTATTCTCCCCTATTGTTCTCTGTCTATTATGTTGACTTAATTCCACAAGGATTGATAACAAACTTTTTCCTTCTATATGATCAGCTATACTTGATTTCAAATGCTTTTCATTGTTCCTCTACACTTACTCTTGGTTTTGTTTTCTTTTGAGAAGATTTTGGTTCAGAAGAGATATTGGAACCATGAACATGTGGGACTGAATAGCCAAGTTTGTAATAATAATTATTATTTTGCATTGCAAAACTTCTGTCAAAACTTAAAACTACTATTAACAAATTGGTTATGGCACAGCCATGAAAGATTGACTCCAAGTCTTCTTGAAATCAATTTTATTTCTGATTTTGCTTTGTTTGTTCTAGCAGTTGTGTTAATCATAAAAAAAATAAATTTGCTTAACATTGTGCTACAGTAGGCGCCCAATACAGCTATTTTAGATGATTAATAGGGTACATAGTAAAGACTGAACTCACTACATTTGCAAAATGAGTTGAGCTCATTAACCTTGGTTACTCTTGATTGTTATAGTCAAAGTTTTGATTATTGTACCCTTTGGTTTTTTTCCTCACAAACACTTTATCTCTATCTATAAAAGGCAGGATGTGTGTGTGTGTGTAATGAATGCACGGCTGCAATTTTCAACGAATTTGTACCAAAATTTAAATGCACATGCTCCAAGTTAGCGGGAAGGCCAAGACCGACTTTGCATTTCCCAACTCCCATCAATAGTGGAAATAATCGATTTTTTCATGCTTCTATGGCAGTTTTCATGTAGATTGTGGCCATTTTCTACTGGCCAGAGTGAGAGCCAATAGCTGGCTGCCACGAATAGGCAGGAAGATTCTATTGGCCAGCGTGAGAGCCAACAGCTGACTGACATGAATGTTAACTAGCATGCTAGCATGCAAAAAAAATCGATAGCTACATTTGTCACAAGTGGGGAAAAATTTAAATCTGCATGGCACTTTACTCCAATTGGCTCATTCACTTGCTTAAACTCAATGTTGATTCTGATTCCACAGAACTGGGTTGGGTGTGAAAAAGTATTTGTTGTTAACATTCTTTTTTCATTCGGTTTTTCCAGTTACGTGTCCTTTTTTAAAGCTGATCGTTTTGTGTTCATTTTGTTTAGTTCTTTCTTCGTAACAGATTTAATGTTTAGTATAGAGCTTAGAAAAAATTCGCAGTGTGAGATAGGCAAGAAGTAAGGCATGTAGCAACATCAGCACAGCAAAGGGCACTCCTTTAAAGGCAAGGAAGGGCAAAAATATTTTAAGTCAAGTGATAGTGATTGCTGTATGAGTCATACGATTTTTGAATCAAGCATGGGCAATGCTGGGCCATGCTGCTAGTTTTTTATAAATGTTTTCTATCTGTGATTGGTTAAATTTATGAATGAAACCTACAGATATGCAGATCTAACTGTAGGTGGTAATGTGCTATGGTTGCATGTTGGCAAAAAATATCTGCTGATAAATATAAAGGCATGAAAGAAGAAGTGGGAGAAAAGGTAACAGTAAAAGATTAAACACAAGACAGGAGTCTATGACAGCCATCATCTAATACATAGAAAAAGCAGTCATGCTCTAATACATAGAAAAAGCAGCCATCATCTAATATGTAGAAAAAACAGCTGTCATTTAATGTAGAGAAAACAGCCTTTATCTGATTCAGACAAAGCAGCTGTCATCTAATACACAGAAAATGTATAATATTTAAAAAATTTCAATGAGCATCAAGAAAAAAAAAATCAATAATGTACACATACTTATCTGCATTTTGTTTACAAATGCCCAAGTATAGAAACAACAAAAGAACCTGAGCCAGTTCCTTCTTTGTTAAAATTTCAGACTTGATGTTTAAGAAGTATTTCAGTTTTTTCTCCATCACAGCAGTTGGTTTATCATTTAATTCAGCCTCTGTTGGGAAATAAAGGGAGAAACAATAGCTGTGAAATTAAGATTCTCATTTTTTATAAGGCAAAAATATAAAAAAGAACTTATTTGAACAATAATTTTAATTATAAATAATACTGACTTGAAAAAATGGTTATATAATGGTTATATATAATATATATGGTTTAGTGTATTGGAGCAGGAGATCATTATTCAAACATATATTGTTAAATATAACAGACAATGAATGTTTGTTATGATTAATCATGAGCCATTCTAAACTTTGTATAGTTGCTTTAATTATGGGCGAAAATAAAGACAAAAATTTTCCAACAATTGGATATTTTTTAATTATGCTGTTCCTTGATTTAAGCTTTCAGCTCACATGAGCCATCTTCAGAGTGGTTATATGGACATTTAAACAATATGGTTATATATATATATATATATATATATATATATAATGTACAGGGAACAATGGGTAAATATATTATATTTTTAATTTTGTGCATACATGTTTTTTGTTTTTTATTTTGTTGACTGCACACTAATTTATGGTCAGTTGGGCACCATCTGTGAGAAAAGGAGCACCATGACACAATTCACTCCACCAGATATTTGGAAATGGCATCTGTACTGTTTGGCATACATGCTGGAAGCTCCAACACAAACATTTCGGAGTGTTTGGATATCAATCTGAGGACAGTGTGGGCAATTCAGAAAGAGTTGGAAGAGTCTAATGGTGATTACGAAGGTAAGGCAGCTAGAAAAACTCACTCTGATCATTCTGATAAGAATTGAACTACCAAATTTGTTGGTGAAGACCTCAGACACACAGAGGCCTACATCAAGTGCCTTGAAGAGGTAGTGCTGCCCTGATTCAAGAGGGTAGCTACTGGAAGACCCTATGTCTGGCACCATGCCACACAAGCAGGAGAACCCAGTCATAGCTGTCAGACAATTTCTGCAACCACATCACACCTTACATCTGGCCACCTAACTCCCCAGACTGCAACCCCTTGATTATTATGTGGGGTGCAATTGAGAAGAGATCAACAAAACTACTTGTAGCACTAAAGATCAACTGAAGGCAAGGATTATGGCAGCATTCACCAACTGAAACAAGGAGATCATCCAGAAGAGATGCAGGAGATTATAAAGTTGTCTGGAGGGCAGAGTTGAAGCCAATGGTGATTTCATTGAATAAATTTACTCTTTAGTATTTCAAGATTTTTTGTAATTTTGGTAAATATATGTGTTAAAATGAGATGTCAGTGTTACTTTCATTTTTGTGTAATTTAGACGACAATTTTTCCATTGCACCCTGTATATAAATAATAGTGACTGAAAAAATGGTTATATAATGCAAAATGTTTAGTTTTTAATAATATACCATTGTTTTTTTTCAAAATCTCTAAACATTTAAACCATCATGATGCTCTGAAATGTTTGTAGTCACAAAACTATGGAAAGCAGAGACAGTCAACTTAAAAATGTATTTCATACATCTACACACACACACACACACACACACACACACACACTTTCAAATTTACAGACTTGATAGAAGAATATACTCTGGGAGAAGAACCAACTTTACAAGCTGCAAAACTCAATTAGAAATATTTTTTGGCATTGCAAACCCCCACCCCAGATTCATTCAAAGCCAAATTCTGCAGGATTTTAGATGTAACATAAAATAAAATGATACTTGGAATAGTAATATCACCTATTGATATTCGTAACATTTTATAATTCAATGTATATCAAGGTAAACAAACTTTCCACTAAATAAAGTGCTCAATAGTTATATAAAGCAACAATTATTACATCAAAAGTAATTTTTAAGTTCACAATACTTATGAGGGGTCGACTCAGAGTTTTGTAATTTCTCACTTGTTAGTAGTCAGGTATGAATGATTGTATTAATTACAGAATGTCAGAGAGGAATGATTGTAATTAAAACAATTATTTTCATCTAAGTCCTGACAAGTAAGAAATTGTAAAACTAAGTTGACTTCTGATATTTATTGTGAACTTAACCTTCAGCTCTCTGCATTATTAATATTACTTCCCTTTCCACTGCATTCTTTTTTAAGGCCTCTCAATTGTAATATCCTTATTGTTAATTCACTCAAAGTTGTTTTCTGTTGCCCTAGCAGGATATGACAACACAACTATGAAATTCGAACACACTATTGTTCAGAGACCAGAGTCACCTTCAGTGGTAGGATAAACTTTTTGAACAGCAAATGAAATCACAGAGAATCATAAAGTTTAAATTAGTTCTGATACAATAAATAAGAATTTAAAAAATATAAATAAAAATTAAAAGTCTGTATTCGTAGGTTCTGCTTATCTATATTGATGTATGTAAAAGTAAATAATTGAATCTGAATATAGGCTTATAATATATTTTGCAATTGAGATTTTAGTTAGGTTAGGTTCAGTGAAAGGATCCAAGGATTTTAAGAATGGGTTCTCTCAACAATAGGTCTCAATAGCAATGAGTTCCCTCATTTTCCCTTAGTCTATAGTTTTATATATATATATATATATATATATATATATATATATATATATATATATATATATATATATATATATATATATATATTAGGAATATAGCAAAGTTTTCTTGCACTTATTCAAAAATACCAAAATTAATCTGCATTACATTGCACATTATAATTTTGAAAGGAAAAATAATTAAAAGAAATGCATTAAAATGTTTTATTCCTGATCTCTCATTTTAAAAATTTCCAAATAGCCACTTGAGACTTCACCTTTTTTGGCCTCATTCTGTTGTCATCAGCAACGTGATTTTTTTCCAAGCCATGTTTTAACAAAAGAAGTCGCATCTCATAAAATTAAAAGGGAGACCAATAAGACTGTCATCAAGTTTCCTTCATTTTCCACTCTAAGGTGGCTTTTTTTATTTGAATATATAACATTCATTCTTGAAAAACTTCTTTCTGCGTCGGAAGAACTAATAGCAATGATACTGATAATAGTTTTCACTTTTTGTACACTTTGAGAAATTACAGGATTATATTTTTCAGGACATCTTCCACATAGTCACAAAAATCATTAATGGGAATGTTTTCTTCCACAGCTTTCCATGGAATAACTATTTCATGAATATTCCAAGTATTTGGCTCTAGCAAGTTCAGCAGTTCATGAAATTTGTATTAACTTTTATTCAATCACCTGAATTTATATCCCCAACTGATTATGTGACTACAATTTGTAGACAATCTAAAATTAGCAGTTTGTTTTGGTTGCAGCTAGCAACAGGTTTGCTTAATTCATAAAATTCCAAGAACAGGTTCGCACAAATCTGCTGAATCCCACCACTCATTAGGTTGGTTAATTTATTGACATCGCAACTCTTGTTGGGCCATTCAATCAAATATAACTGTTGCAAAACAAAAACAAAAAAAAAAATTCAATGAATTTTTCAAAACTAACTTTTGTACTTGCAAAAAAACAGTGTGTCAAAAGAACAGTTTTTCTCTTGACATCACTATTATTTTGTACTAACTTCACTCACTAGATTATAAAAATATGTGAACCAAGTACAATGGGATATTTGCATTTTATAAAGGTTTATTATTTATCATTTTATAAAGAAATAAATGTGAAAAGAAATATTTTTATTCAAAAATTTTTTAAAATTATTTAAACCAATGCAATATTTATTATTTACCATTTTGTAAAGAACTATGGAAACAAGTTTTTTTTATTCATAATTTAATAAAAATATCAATAAATTACTGCATGAAAGGAATGCCTGGAAAATGCATTTATTCAAAATTTATAATTACAATTACTCATCGTTATCTGAGTATTTAAATTTTTATGCCTGACAGGCATTTTTTATAAATTTATGAATAAAAAAAATTTACTTTCATATTTATCTCTTTATAAATGGATAAATGATAAACATTGTATTGTATTAGTTAGTTTGCATTTTTATAATGAAAATTTATGTAAATAATCAATCAATAAATAGTGTCTAATATTTTGTTGTAAATTCTGAAGAACAAAGAAAATGTATAAATTCACTTTCACATATTTGAGTTTTATTAAAATTCTAATCATTAGTTTTTAAAACAAACAATGCCAAGGGAGTGAATGTAGCTAAAATAATAAACTGTCCTTTTGGGCATGAAAGTTAAAGATTGCCCAATTTTTTTTTTATCATTTAAGCCCAAGCAAGGCAATAAAGTTACTAAGATGCAAGAAGTTACTGAGTATTAAAGAATATGAGAAAAACACCACTATTAAGGAGAGAGAATAATAAAACAAGAATTAAGAAGACAGAATATAATGATTGACATTGCATTTAAATTTTTGAAAATCAAAGTTGAGTGGGAAGTAAGAAACCAGAAGAGAATTCCATAAGATGTTATAAAAAATATGGGTTATCTCCCTTCAGCAGATAACTCCTGCTGATAATAGGTCAGGCCCATTCATCTGATAATAATGGGTATGAACCAAAATAATGCATGAAACAGACTTTAGGCACCAAAGCAGCGGCCAAGGCAACCATGAATGAGAGTGACATATTTTCAGCCTACTCCAAGAACAGGCAATGCTGCCCATGAGCAAACATGAATAAAGCAAGGACAATTCAGCTATCGTCAGAGGACATCACAGTACGGATAAGTGGTTCATCTATTTCAAACAGACACATATTTGGGATGTCATCCCCAATGACTTGACTTTTAACTGCTAAAAAAATATGTTTTTAGCAATCCTCTTCTTGTTGTGTAATGTATTTCTTATATAAAGTATATTTTTACAATGTTCAATTGTCTTATTTTGTTCATCAAGCCACAAGTCAATTTGGGAGGCGTTAAATTTCCAACATTTTGCTAAAAACATTTGCAAGTAAGCAATTTTGCCCAGCATATATGCAATTTTCGCTAAACAAAAAAAAGCATTTGCTATATATATATGTGAGCAATTTGTCAAATGCATAAAGCAATTTTGTTGGCATGATAACAGAGAATTTAAAA